AAGGTATACAATTAGGTACAAAACATCTGTAGTTGAAAGCATAAAATTACGTACAAAATATTTAGATTTAGGTATCAAAAAACCCATAGAACTCCTTGTTCTGCCATCAATTTACACAAGCTGATTATGCAATTTACTTACTGTTACTCGCCGCCCATCTTGTTTTCAATATGGTCTGTGAGTGTCAAAGTCTCTAAGCCGTCTTTCTTCATTATGTGTTCCAGAAAGTTGGCTCTCTGTGCCGCGCCAGGAAATTTTTCTCCCCGAAATCGATACTTCAACTATACAAATCAACCATTCGCCCTTGCATGGAGTATTGCTGCCATATATGGTCTGGGGCGCCTTCTGTTTACCTCGGAGTTCTTGACAAGATCCAGAGATGGATATGTAGTATAATTGGCCCTGATCTCGTCTACAGACACTCTCTCACAGACGCGCCGTCGCCTCTCTCTGTCTTTTCTACAAATACTTTCATGGTAATTACTCCGATGAGCTGCTTTCACTGGTTCCCAGACTCCATGAATTCAAGCGCCCTACGAGGCTGGCATCCCGCTCCCACCCTTACACTGTAGAAACTTTTAAATGTAGCCGTCTCTTCTACTCCAATAGCTTCATACGTCGCACCTCTCGCCTGTGGAACACCCTTCCCAATTACTGTTTCCCTGGGAGCTATAATCTCCAACTATTCAAATGTAATGTCAATCGGCACCTCCAGTTACCTTGATCCTTCTTCTCATCCTTTCTTCTATCACTCCTATCTGCTCTCGCTCCTAATCTTCTGCAACCCCCTGTATCATAATGGCTTCACGCCTTGCTCGGGGCGTAATGCTTAAAAAAAATAAATAAATAAAAAAGATATTTCAACTGTTTCATTCTTATTCTAAACATAAGTGTCCTTTCTGTTTCCACTTTCCTTAAAGCTTCGTCGTTGCTTTCATGCTCTGTCTAACATCCTTGTGTAGAAAGAAACACATCACTGTTGTCTTATGTCTTTTACCTTCGAGGGTATTCGCCAGCATTCACTTTCATATATTGCATTTTCTTGTGTGTAATACGGGAGATTTTGAATGAAAATTAAAATGTAAAAAAAGCGGGATCGTATTTTACACAAGTAAACGTTTTCAGAAAATGTTTACTGAGCTTAAAAAAACTCTTATTTGAAACAGCAAAATTGCAAATGATCTCAATTAGCGCAAGAGATAATAAAACACAAAGTAGGTAGGTGTTGAGAACAATTGTTTACAAAATATATTTGATATGTCGGCAAATTCTCTGCGAATCAGCGTAAATGAAATTCTTTTATCTAAATTATCTTAATCAATTAGAATTATAGAAACCGAACAATCAAAGAATAAAAGTGAAATTACGAAAGAAATTGAGAAAGAATATGAACGAGAAATCAAAGAGCTGAATTCAAATTCCAGTTGGTTTGGTTTGGTTTGGTTTGTTTTACGGTATATCAACTTCAATGGGTTATTTTATGCCGACAAGATTTTTATTGCTGGTAAGATTTTTTTCAAAAATGTCTTGCTGGTAATGTAATATGTAAATGTAATAATTTTTTCTTCAAAATTTATTCCTGGTAATTTTTATTTTTATTTTACAAAAACGTATTTCTGGCATTAAAACCTATTTTTACACTTTCATAGTGTTTTAAACCCAGTTTGGGAAGGGTTAATTATTTGCCGATAGCTGGGACCCTGAAAGGTGCTGCCACCCCGGGTCAGAGTGGACCTGGGAACAACAGCAACTAAGAGGTGGTTCTACATTCCTCAAAGCCTCCTGATCAGAAGACTAGCTGCCGGAAGTAGTTTATCGTCATACTCAGGACGGGAATTCCGGCCGGGTTCGTTCTACACGCTTATGCGCAAGATATTAATAATCTGCTTGATCTTTCGTATATTCTCATGAAGGGACCTCATCTGAAACAACTTCTTTATCATTATAATGATTATTATTATTGGTGGTGGTGGTGGTGGTGGTATTATTATTATTATTAGTAGTAGTAGTAGTATAAGCCTTTGATAATATGTCGCACTCTTGAATCCTTAAGGCTTTGGAAATGTACAAAGTCTCCTCAGTGAGAAAAATACATTATAACTAAATAACACTAAAGGTACAGTCAGTCAGTTATGTGCCATGCGGGACCCACGCTAAGGCGATCATGTATCTTTCGATACATGACTGACGAGGCAGAATTCTTTCCCGCAGTAGGTTGCCATTTCTTTCTGCGGTAGACCAGTTGCCATCCAAGGCTATAGAACCCGGTCTGTCCTGCTATTTACCCATAACTGGGTTGGGGAGAAGAAGAAGATTCATACCTTTCCCAAGGATATTAGCACGTAAGTGAATGTAATGGATTCAATTGGAATTCGAACTTGGCTCTCCAATTCCTCATCTCAGAAATATAGACAGATAGTGAAAGGCCGAAATATTATGATAAATATGGCGACAAAGATGAGGACACTAGTCCGAATAATGTAAATAGTGTACATAATACCTCATCTCAGAAATATAGACAGATAGTGAAAGGCCGAAATATTTAATAAATATAGCGACAAAGATGAGGACAATAGTCCGAATAATGTAAATAGTGTACATAATACATCATCTCAGAAATTGTTTGAAAATCCGACGAGGAATCTTTCAAGGAGACTCCCTGTCGCCCCCCCTCTCTTCTGTCTGTGTCTTTAATCCTATCACGTGAACAAAACACTAATAACTATGGATACAAAGTAAAAAAGAAATGTGTGCGTATGCGTAAGGGTAATTTGCATAAGTCTTACAGGCGACATCCCGATGAAATACTGGTTCCAGTACGATCACCGACCGTTTGGTGAGTATCAGGTTCTGTAAGCATAGACGTGCAGGTGGTTTAATGGTTAATGGCATGGTATTGTTAATAGAAGAACCGAGTTCTAATTCCCGTTGATTTCACTATATTCACTTACGCGCAAATACCCATGAGAAAGGTATGAGTCCACATCTTCTCCCCCCAGCTATGGGTTAATTAGTGAGATTTTTATTACTAAACTATTATTACCTAACAATTCTTACAATCTAAAAATATTTTCTGACTTTGAATAACCTGCAAAGCCGTAGAAAAACGAATCAAATTATTATTGTTGTTTTTGTTGATGATAATATCAATATTACACGTGGCTCAGTGGTTAGAATGTTCGCATTCTTACCATGAGACCCTGGATCGAATCTCACCATGGTCGATTGGTCAGGAAGGAGACTTCATGGTGTTATCGGACTGGGGGGGGTATGGTTTCCAGGCACGAGCTGTAAGTAGACGGAACCCCTGGGGGTCGTCGATAGCTGTGCTGGCATGATGTCACAAGTCATCGTGGCCGAGGGTCTGGGTGTGCTGCTCTTGTTTAGATTGTTGATCACGCTAGATAACACGCTCTCTCCCAGAAACTGTAACTAGCGTCTGCTCACCATAGTCGAAGTATGGTTGGCTCTGTGGGTGTTGAACAAACACAAATGTGCCTGAGCGAGCGTCTGCAATAGGGATTAGCTAGTCGCCTTAACAGAAGGGAATTCTCGAATACAAGTGGCTATATATATTATAATATGATTTTGTTGTTGTTTTTGGTGATTATTATTATTGTTGTTGTTTTTGTTGATATTATTAGGTTGGTGCAAAAATAATGACGTAAGAATGTCGTTTTTTGACGTTAAAAATACGTCAAAAAACGACATTATTATTACGTCATTATTTTTGCACCAACCTAATATTATTATTATTATTATTATTATTATTGTTGCTGTTTTTGTTGATTATTATTATTATTATTATCACGTTATTTACAAGACATATTCTGCCGGTAGGACATTGACCTTTGAAGATTAGCCAGAAAATTTCAGCGAAACAACATTGCAATCATCCGGAAGCCTTGATCAGTCATATTTAATGAAACATATATATATATATATATATATATATATATATATATATATACACACTACACACGCGCACACACTCTCTTTTTTTCTTTCTTTCTTTCTTTCTTTCTTTCTCTCTCTCTCTCTCTCTCTCTCTCTCTTTCTCTTTCTCTCTCGCTTGCTTTCTCTTTTACTGCGTGCGAGTAAAAAGAGAGAGACAAAAAGGAAAATAGAGAGAAGAGGAGGAGGAAGAGGAGATATTTATAAGAAAGAAACATTTGTAGTAGTTTTGCTTAGCACTAGTGAGTGATTTTATTTATGTATGTAGGGGGAAATATACCGGACGAGAGCGATTAACGGCTCAGACTATAATGCGATAGATAGAAAGATACATACATACATACATAGATATGTGGACACATATGCACAAGGGGTGCTCCGAAAGTAATGTCTCCTATTTATTTCCACGGAAACTACAAAAGATACAGGAAATAACATAACACTGTAGGCGAGAGCGAGATTTCTGCTACAAAACACTATTTTTCCACATAGTCACCAACATTGGTGATGCATTTTCGCCTACAATAAAAAGAGGACTTTTCGTGGTTTCACAGATGTGTAGGACCGCTCGGAACATGATTTGTCACCGAAATCGCGGAAAAAAACTTAGCCACTGTGGTTGCATCAATTGTTTGGTCCCAGTAAATATTCCACCAGCGGTGAAGGATGTCAATGAGTGCAAATTTTTTTGTCATATGATGGAATTCAATTTCTCATTTCTGCTTAATGCGTACACCCATGCCAGTCACCATTCTACCAAATTGCAGCTTAGTTCATGTCTTCAACAATGCAAAAATGTGTTATTGGCGGGAAGGTTCAACGTCTACTGACATTCGAAAAACACCGGCCTTTGATATCGTGAGGCAATTTAATACAGTGAGAAACATTACTTTTAGAGAAACCCCATAGATAGATAGATAGATAGATAGATAGATAGATAGATAGATAGATAATGATCAGATCGAGATAGATAGATAGATAGATAGATAGATAGATAGATAGATAGATAGATCACTATCAGATTGGGATAGATAGATAGATCACAATCATATTGGGATAGATAGATAGATCATGGTCAGTTTGGGATAGATAGATAGATAGATAGATAGATAGATAGATAGATAGATAGATAGATAGTGATCAGATTGGGATAGATAGATAGATAGATAGATAGATAGATAGATAGATAGATAGATAGATAGATCACTATCAGATTGGGGTAGATAGATAGATCACTATCAGATTGGGATAGATAGATCATGGTCAGTTTGGGATAGATAGATAGATAGATAGATAGATAGATAGATAGATAGATAGATAGATAGATAGATCACTATCAGATTGGGGTAGATAGATAGATCACTATCAGATTAGGATAGATAGATCATGGTCGGTTTGGGATAGATAGATAGATAGATAGATAGATAGATAGATAGATAGATAGATAGATAGATCACTATTAGATTGGGATAGATAGATAGATCATGGTCAGTTTGGGATAGATAGATAGATAGATAGATAGATAGATAGATAGATAGATAGATAGATCACTATTAGATTGGGATAGATAGATAGATTATGGTCAGTTTGGGATAGATAGATAGATAGATAGATAGATAGATAGATAGATAGATAGATAGATAGATAGATAGATAGATAATGAATTGAAAGGCAGAATATCGTTTAACATAACATCAAATAATATTTATAACGCAGGATTATTCAATTATTCATAGCTTCTAAGCGACTGGGAGGCAAGTTACGTGATTCCAATTCACAAACAATTTCCCTGTTGTCGAACACTCTACTGTGTTTCCCGGGGCCACACTTTCAAGACACCTAGAATGTCAATCAGTTTTATAAGCCTCCCGTTGCTATAATGTGCCATCATCAGTTTTCTGTTTTAAATTCTGGTTCCAATTTTGCTCGTTGATGTTAACATCCGTTCAACATTGACGGATTTCAACCAGGTATTCAGCGTCACTTGTCCTGCAACGTTAAATGTGATAACGAAAATTTTCTAAAGATTTGCTTCAACTCAAAATATTACTTATCATAGTAGGTGACATTTTAGATTGAGTATATCTGTCAAAAGAAAATGGGAATAAATGCAAAAGGAAAACATCTTAGCCGACGCGTTTCGTCTTCTGAGAGACTATTTTTTTTTTAAATCAGTTTTGTTATGGTCCGGTTCCTTGTACCACGGTGATAGTCCAAGGTAGAACCAATAAAGAAGAACTCGAACACGTATATGGAATAATACAGATATATTACAAACAGGAATATATACAAAGTGTTAGTACGAACAATCAGGTTTAGTAGTACTCTGTTTCGGACTGCCTATGACTCGACTGACTGACTCGCTCGCTCTGACTGACTGACAGACTTCTGACGGACCGCACTCCAGACTTCAGACTGAACTATAGACTTCAGAGAGAATTGTATTTAGTCACCCCCCCCCAACGAGGGCATCATGTGGCACAAGGCCGGTTTAACGTGGGATCTCTGAGCCCGTGGGCTCGGCCAAAAATATGCCCTTTGAACCCGTATAAACGGGTTCAGAGTCGGTTTACCTCTCCGAAAGAGACTCCGCCCTTCAGCGTAGCCTCGTTCGGGTTCCTCCCCGCCCGAAGGCAGAGAGTTCAACCGATCAGCCGGTCAGCCGGTCGCCCGACTTCGGACTGAACTCCTTGCTTCCTCTTGAGGCGCAGTATTTATTACGTATGGAATAGTCCATTATGCTATTATGGGTAAGGTCCCCTAACAAGTTTCAACCCGTGCAAGGCAGTAAAGCCACTAAGACACATGGAGTTATTGGGCGCGAAAGAATTAGGAACAGAAAAATTATTAGGTTGGTGCAAAAATAATGACGTTATAATGTCGTTTTTTGGCGTATTTTTTAACGTTAAAAAACGACATTCTTACGTCATTATTTTTGCACCAACCTAATACTACTCAGCAGAAAGAGAAAAGAATAATCAAAAGTACAGTAGATAACGATTGACATTGCATTTAAATTTTTGAAGATTAAGGCTAGCTGGAAAGCCTGGAGTCGGAAGGGAGTTACACAAGCGAGAAGTGCGAGACTAGAGAAACTCTTAGCATAGAACTTACGGCTACATCCAGCCAGCTCTCAACTGTAAAATGATGAGATCTCGACACCACTCTAGTACTGCGCTTAAATTCAAAAAGTCTAGGTACTATAGCAAAGAGCGATATGTATTCTGATATAAACACAGAAATGTGACACAAGTCCAAAATGGCGAATGGGGAAAAAGACGGTCTTCCTTTGTCTTAACTTTAATTTTTGCTAGCCACACACACTGACCTAAACGTACCACAATATTCTTAACACCAAAACAACGCGTTCTTACCTACTTTTCTTACTACATCCACCATTGTCTCCACGAAAATCCTAACTAGTCCACTTATATACAATTCATTGTCTGTGGGGGGAGGGGAATAAAACAACAATTTAAAACATTTAGCCCCCCCCCCCATGAGTATTTACAATATGAAAATAAAACTATTTACAAGAAAGTAAATAAAATAATGTTAGTAATAAAACCCCGCACAATCTGTAAATGTAGCAGAAACATCAGTTAACTTGATGAAATTAATGCGGGAATTTAATAATATAAAAACAATCAGTCATCCCATAAACTCACTCAAGTACACACTCATTCAGACACAACAACAAATATTATAGCGTAGAGCTACAGCCACCATAATACCTCATTGTCTCTAAGAAAATACTATAGCGAATCACATATGTGCAATTACCCTCGGAAAAGGTATAAATCCACTGCTTCTCACCCCATATATCATAATATTGTTACTTATTATTGGATCATCAATGGGAACGATACACAGAGAAGAATGAGTGCTTAATATTTATTTATATTTATTCGGTACCAGTATCAAGTGCTAATGGATACATACAAAAAAAAACACAGAAAAATAAGTTACAAAACAATTAACAAGACAACTTATAAGGAATAGAGGAGGGTCAAATGCCGTATAGCCAAACAAAGTAAGATAAGTCCGAATATTAATCAGCTTAGTATCAACTTATTAATCAACTGTTGAAGTTCTTAATCGTAGACTATTTAAGGCTATAAGCCAGGCTAAGCTGGTAGAGTGCTAAAAGGGTGCTAGCTACTCTACAACACTTATATTTTTAATTTCAGGAATATAAATATTGGCATAATCCATAAGAATGATATAACCTAATTCCCTCTTTGCTCAAAAAAGTAAGAAGAAAATTCAGGATTTTCCAAAAGAACTGCCAATTTGGGGACCTGTCCCCGGGTAGACGCTTCCCTGAAAACTACAATCTTAACCTCTTCAAGTCAAGGATCAATCGTTATCTATCCTCCTTATCCTCATAATCTTCACTTCCCATCACCTCCTATTTCATTCAAATTGCGCACCGTGTTTTGACTGTAACCTTCTACATTGAGTGGCTCTCGAGATTTACATTGTGAGAATTTAATTTTAAAAGACAAGAGAATCAAGATATTATGAAGTTGTTGAATGGCGGGAATTCAACCCGCGGAAAACGTAAACAGATGTGATATAACAAAGAAATTTAAAATGGTGGTAACAGAAAAACAAGAGCTGGTTTTAATAACGCTAGAAAAAAGAGATTTGATGGACATTAAATAATAAAGAAAATAATAAATAATAATAATAAATAAATTTTAAATAATAATAATAATAATAATAATAATAATAATAATAAGGAAACTGAAAGAAAATGGTATGAACACCACCCAGATCCGGTTACGGAGATAGGACCTGTTACAATTCTATGGGACTACACAATACACACTGACAGAACAATCAAGGCCAACCGCCCAGATATTGTTATTAAAGACCACAAACAAAAACGATGCCTCCTTATTGATATGGCACTCCCAGCTGACTGCAATGTATCTTTGAAGATATTCAAAAAGTTGTCAAAGTACAAGGACCTTGAAATAGAAATCTGGAAAATGTGGCATATGGGAACATCAACAATCCCTGTTGTAGTTGGAGCCCTAGGACTGGTTAGAAAAGATTGCAGTAGACTAATTGAAGGGATTCCTGGAAGTCCATGCCTCAAAGAGATACAAAAAATTGTTCTGACAAGTACAGCCCACACCTTACGAAGGGCTTTATCTATGTAATTTAATTCTTTTTTTTTTCTTTGTCAGTGGAAAGTGTCATGGCGCCATTTCTAACCTTAGGTCCCTGGGCGGGACCCGGAAAGAAATGTGTAAACGCCAGAAATCAAAGAAAATAAAAATAATAATAATAATAAACATTAATAACACTATTTATATTATTCGGACTATTGTTTAATGTACACATGGCACAGTGGATAAAGGCATTAGCTAGATCCAGTGACAGGACCCAAAAAGTGTGAGTTCAATACCCGGTTAAGGCAGTGGAGAATTTTGAGAGGGGGAACAGGAGATAACTGATAACTCACATCCATTGAACATGGCACGTGGAACTAGAACAGTCTACCCCAGTGAGCGAAATAAACGGTTCAGTTCGACATTCCAACCGCCTGAAGAAGGCCGGAGCGTATAACGGTCGAAACGTTGTAATAAATATGGCGACAAAGATAAGTACAATAGTCCGAATAATGTAAATAGGTTACATAATACATCATCTCAGAAATATAGACAGATAGTGAAAGGCCGAAATATTATGATAAATATGGCGACAAAGATGAGGACAATAGTCCGAATAATGTAAATAGTGTACATAATACCTCATCTCAGAAATATAAACAGATAGTGAAAGGCCGAAATATTGTGATAAATATGGCGACAAGGATGATGAGAATAGTCCGAATAATGTAAATAGTGTACATAATACCTCATCTCAGAAATATAGACAGATAGTGAAAGGCCGAAATATTATGATAAATATGGCGACAAAGATGAGGACAATAGTCCGAATAATGTAAATAGTGAACATAATACCTCATCTCAGAAATATAGACAGATAGTGAAAGGCCGAAATATTGTGATAAATATGGCGACAAGGATGATGAGAATAGTCCGAATAATGTAAACAGTGTACATAATACCTCATCTCAGAAATATAGGCAGATAGTGAAAGTCCGAAATATTGTGATAAATATGGCGACAAAGATGAGGACAATAGTCCGAATAATGTAAACTGTGTACATAATACCTCATCTCAGAAATATAGACAGATAGTGAAAGGCCGAAATATTGTGATAAATATGGCGACAAGGATGATGAGAATAGTCCGAATAATGTAAACAGTGTACATAATACCTCATCTCAGAAATATAGGCAGATAGTGAAAGGCCGAAATATTGTGATAAATATGGCGACAAAGATGAGGACAATAGTCCGAATAATGTAAACTGTGTACATAATACCTCATCTCAGAAATATAGACAGATATTAATGAATAATAAATAAGAAATAAGAAGAAAGATGAAAATAAGAAAGAAAGATAAGAAGAAAGAAAAAGTGGATTTGCTATCAAGAAAATATTTGGAGAAGCTGGTGTTTCAAACGTAAACAACAAGAAAAGTACCAGAATGCTATGAAAATTGGCAAAAACAATAAAAACAACCCAAACTACCATATTTAAGTAAACACCACAAAAATTACATAAAAAACTGATCTAGAAGACCACAAGAACGTAGTTAAACAAGGTTTCCAGTTAGCATAGGAGGCAGTAAAATCATTTGTTCTTCAAATCTGATGAGAGTGCCAAGAATATGTTTTATCGACATACAAGCCACAACCAAGTCGTTCTAAGCTAAATGTTATGTTCATGCAAGTTAATTCTCCTCCATATTCTGTAATGTTTGTTATCGCCTACATTTCAAGCTTTTAAACACCCAAAATTAGTGGAATGGATCCAAGTCTTTCAATAGAAAACTTGCAATTTATTAAAAGAAATGTATAATATGGAAAACAATATTCAGGGAGAGAAGATATGTTAGAAGTAATAAGAAAAAATGCTGCAAGTAATGCTAAAGTCGAAAGAATAGATAAGTTAACAAAATCAATGAATGAAAAACTGATCAAGTTATGGAGGACATATTAACGGGTAGAATGATCCAATATGGAGTCCATACAAACGTGTAAAATAATAAAATAAGGGATACAAATTCAGATATCTAATAATAAAAACGGGATCCATATTAACGTGTAAAATAATAAAATATGGAGTGATTTATTCTTTTGGAGTAGTAGAACTTGTTTTCACTGTCCTTAAAATAAATTAGCTACACACAATATCTGACCCAACCGCTAGAATATTTTTCCTTTCATCAAAGGAGTGGGTAGGTGAACCTATTGTTCGGCCATCACACCTTTCCCATCAATTGAACAGGGTTTATCCCATATTTCATGTTTAGGATTGGGTTTCCGGTTCCTTCTAAATTCTTCACATTTTCTTTCACTCCCAGTAGCCCCTTGCATCTTAGTGGCATTATCACCTTTCTTGGTGGGGTGAATAGGGAAGTAGAGGTTTATCCTTTGTTTCGTGTTTAGGATTGGATTTCTGGTTCCTTCTAAAGTCTTTCCCTTCTCTTTCACTTTCAGTAGTTCTTTGTGTCTTAGTAGCATTATCACCTTGTTTGGGGTGAATTGATTAAAAAAATATGTCGTTTGCATAGTACAGTCTTACAGCAGACACCACAATGGTATTTATTAGAGAAATTACATCAAATATGGCACAAGGCCGAATTTGTGCAAAGTGGAAATGGCTAGCCTTCATCAGTCCTACGTTTAACTTAGCTTATCTCAATCACTGATCCACTCGTCCGATAATCTTCCATTCAACATAAAGTCACATTCTTGCGTACTATCCTTTACTACAGTCAGCAAAATACCACAATTTCTCTATGAAGTCCTAGTCCCAATTTTTGTGTATAGAGGGATGATAAAAATAACAACCACTTAAAAAAATGTCTTATTGCTTATTCACAATGACAAAAAAAAAACATAATTATAAGAAAGAAAGAAAAAAGAATGATTGCCAGTATTAGAAAATCCGACAATAAAAATGGCGGCATTTGATCAGAAATATAACTGACTCTTACGGAAACACATTCAATCACGCACGCATTGAAATACAATAATAAATCCGAAAAGACAAAAGCAAAAAATTATACCACACCTACCAGAGAATTGAAATGTCTGTCGCCTAATGGGGGAGTGGTTGAGAAATTAAAAAATAAAGGAACACGCTACCGTCCTGGGTATGACGATAAATTACATCTGCATCCTGGGTAACACGAAAAACTACATCCAACAGCAAGGCCTTTGATCAGGATGTTTTGAGGAGCGTGGAACCACCTCTTAATTGCTGGTGTTCCCAGTCCACACTGTCCCGGGGTGGCAGCACCAGTGATGGTTCCAGCTATGGACAAATAATTAACCCCCAAACTGTGATCCAAACACTATGAAAGAGTAAAAATAGGTTTTAATACCAGAAATACTTTGTAAAAAATATTACCAGCAATACATTTTTTTTTAAATATTACCAGCAATACATTTTTTTTAAAAAAATATTACCAGCAATACATTTTTGAAAAAAGAAATATTACCAGCGATACATTTTTGAAAAAAGAAATATTACCAGTGATACATTTTTGAAAAAAGAAATATTACCAGCGATACATTTTTTGAAAAAGAAATATTACCAGTGATACATTTTTGACAAAAGAAATATTACCAGCGATACATTTTTGAAAAAAAAAATATTACCAGCAATATATATTTTTTTTTAAATATTACCAGCAATACATTTTTTTTAAAAATACTACCAGCAATACATTTTTGGAAAAAAAATATTACCAGCAATACATTTTTGAAAAAAGAAATATTACCAGCGATACATTTTTGGAAAAAAAAATATTACCAGCGATACATTTTTGAAGGAAAACTATTACCAGAAATAGATTTTTGAAGAAAAAAAATATTACTAGAAATGGATTTTTGAAAAAAAATATTACCAACAATAAAAATTTTGTTGGCATTAAATAACCCATTGAGGTTGATATGCCGTAAAACAAACCAAACCGGAACACGCTATATTTGAGTTACTGTTTTTACTATAAAAACTATTGAATGTTAAGAACACTTATGGGTTTATAAAAGATGCGCACACTAATACACGTACTTATCTATAAAATCTCAAACCCCACCCTCCTCTCTTTCAAATGAAATACTCAGTGCCACGTCATTCAAACAGTGGACAATACGAAAGTTCAAAGCAATCAAGTTGCTTCTGAGACGTGTTACAATTGAGATCGCATGCCTTCACTGTATAAAAAAAAGCCTTTTAACAATAATCTATACTCGATAAATTTCTGGAAGTTATTCTGTTCAAACCAATGGCCAAAATTTAATAACGGACCTCTAAACCGGCAGTTCACTGATCCAATTACTGAGCGTTTCTCACAAGAGTAGAACTCTTGCGGCGTTTTACAATTGCTTCTCTGCATACGACAGGATCTCAAAGCGGAAGTAGCCTGATTCTGCGAACGACACCGGAAGTTGCTCCATTCCAAGAAAAATTGTACAGACAACCATGGCCGCAACTGCTGATTGCTCATCTCTTCTTCGTCTAATCTGAAACATTGATTAAAAATTACCTTCAGCCCAACCTCATGCTCGTGCCACTTCCTTCGCTTATAAGTATTTCGTTGGCCGATTTTTGCCGGCCTTTGGCAAATTCAATTTCGGCATGGAGTCTCTCCTGATTACTTATTGAGTGATGACCAGAGACGGGGAGCGGCTCGGGAACAACTGAAAAGGGCAGTGGTAGAAAGAAAACAGAATCGGGGATGCTGCTGCTGCTGCTGCTGTTGTTGTTGTTGTTGTTGATGATGATGATGATGATGATGATGATGACAGAATTATTTAATAATGCACCATTCATTCTACAGGGAAAACGGAGATAACTAACACTAGAAAAATAGAAAAACAAACTGCAAGAAAGAGAAGACGACGAAAAAGAAAGAAAGGAAGTAAACAAAAGAGAAATGGGTGAAGAAAACGAAAAAGAAACAGAAAACGAAAGAGAAAACAAAAAGAAAGAGAAAAAGGAAAAGAGAATGACAAAAGAGAGAACAAAAGGGGAAAAGAAAGAGAAGAGAAAGAGAGGATGAAAGAAAAAGTGAACGAGTGGACGAAAGCGAAAAACGAAAGGAAAGAGAAAACTGAAAATGAAAGAGAAAACGAAAAGAAAAAGAGAATGGGAGGATGTAAAAAAAAAAAAACGGGGAACAAAAGAGGAAAAGAATTCGAAAAAAAAAAAGGACGAAAGAAAAAAAAATTAAAGATTGGACGAAATTGAAAAATGCACGGAAAGAGAATGAAAAAGAAAAAAGGAAATTAAAAGAGAACATGGACTTTAAAGGAAGAGGGTAGCAGAAGAAAAAAGATTAAAAAAAAAAAAACGAAATGAAAAAGAAGATGAAAGAGAGAATGAAATAAAAAAGAGAGAAGAGGACGAAGTGAAAAACGAAAGGAAAAGAAATAACGAAAGAGAAAACGAAAGCAAAGGATTAAAAGGATCGATTGAACAGGAAAAAAAAAGAACAAAACAGAAAAAGAAGACGAAATAAGGAATAGAGAAAAAGAAAAAGTATGAAAAAAGACAGACTAAAAGATAATGTCTGAAAAAAAGAGAAACTTAAAATAAGAATAAGTTATATAAAGGAAAATAGAAATGAAGAGATAAAACAGGAGAAATGTTGAAAAAAGGATTTCTTCAATAGAGAGTAAAAGAGAGTAAACGAAAGAGAAAGGGAGAAAGAAATGTTATGTAATTGCAAAAAAAAAAAAAAAAAAAAAAACGTAACCAGATAGGAGAAAGAAAAAAAAGAAAAAAATATGTACGAAAGAGAGAAAGCGAAAGAGAGAGTGAGAGAGAGAGATGAGAAAATTAAAATAAGAGGCGTTTAATTATCAAATGTGCAAACACTTGGTCGATTGGGTATGCGAACAGCACCTTCTGCGTTGTTTTATGATCAGGGCGAATTGACACATTTCTCTATTTTAAGATATAAACGAACGTATGCACGAAGGCATCAGGTATTGTGACGACGATGAAAGAAGGAAGACTCTCTTGTTCCAAAAGAACTGCCCGGCGGAGAAACAGTAGGATAGGCCTAATGAACAGACATATGAAGAGCGCAAAAAGGTCCCTCTTTTATGAAATCAACTACAGCCTGTGGTAAAAAAAAAAAGAGGTAGCGAGAAGGGAGGTATGGCAACACAAGGTCCTCCTGACAACCTCACTTTCACTTTGCGTACTGCTGATGATGTCCTTTTCCAAATTCGCATTTATCAACGACGCAGTTTCAGCTTGACATCTAAATGAATAAACGGCAAATTCTGTCTGTTCGTCCTTGTGTATGAAATTCTTCTAACTCAAGCTACACGTGCTCTACATAGATATATTATACCTTTTTGGAAACAGGATGGTCCCGGAATTAAAAATCTTCCCTTCATCATTGAGATTTGTGTCCGGAAGAGGAGGGGACAATTAAAATTAAAATTTTTAAATAACTGAAAAAAAAAAATAGTGATTTTAAAAGTTTTTAATTTATATTGAGTTTAAAGTAACACAAAAACGTTGTAAATTTTTTAAATCTATTTTAAATTCAGTTTAAAATATCTCCAAAACTTTGGTAATCGGGGAAATTAATTTATTTCTTCAAAATGCCAAAGAATCAGAGTTAAAGCGAAAGGTTTCGTGACGTGAGATTTTGAAATGCTGCAGAGTTTCTAATTTGAAAAACACAACTCAACTGAAGTTGCAGGGAGTTTGTGATTTCAAGAACTCAATTTTCGGCACAAATCGAGGTTTCAGCCCAAATCTGAATTTCAACCCAAATCGATCTTTTAGCCGGCATTGGACTCAGAATTAAAGTGAGCTTTAAAAGTGCAACGGAGTGAATTGAGGAATTCAAAATTATTTCTTCAAAATTATCATTGCTGTTTTCTAAGCCTAACCAGAGGTCCCTTTAGTTTTGGCCCAGTTAGCCCTCCACAGGAGCTAGCTCAAATATCCGCACGGAAAGGACCTTGTAAACTAGTTTGTAAATAAAATAAAAGTACAAATAACTCTTTATGAAATCAGGGTCCGATTTGACACTATTTATATTAAGCACAGGATCCGTCCTTCTAAAAAGAATATAAAAACAATATTGTTTGATTCTGACAAAGGCTGTAGGAAAAGAAATGTTTTAACGTTAGAATCTATCAATTCAAGCAAAATGCCCTCTACCCTAAATTTTACCTATTTTTATGATCGGGTCAGTTAACTTAAGTAGTGTCCAATATTGTTGAACTCGGGCTATGTATAATTGACTGTCTGAAGTAAAATTATAGTCTGCGGAGGTAACTATTGCAGATAAAATTAAGCTCTACGGAAGTCTCAATTTTCCATCTAAAATAATGTGGGTTTTTTTTAGAATTTTTTGTTGTTCTTTAAAGTCCGTCTTATAAACAGTGGCTGCTGCTGCTGCTGCTGCTGCTAATGCAATGCTCTTCTACTCGAATCGAGCACTCTTAGCTACTGACGTCTTTCACATATTAAAAACGTTAAAATTTCCCTTCCGCTCTGCCGTGCAAGGATAGCTTGGGTGTAGAATCTCTGACTGATGGCAAATCGGTTGGGTTTCGATCCTGGCTTGAAGCAATCGAATGTCTAGTCACACTGATGAGCTATGATACATCGAAACAGTCTGTCTGTGGATTTTATATATATATATATATATATAATCATTTCAACCAAAGTAAGGCAATAAAGCCACTAAGGGGGTTACTGGGTGTTAGAGAATATGATAAAAACAAACACTATTAAGGAGAGAGAACATTATAACAACAAGAATTAAGATAACGATTGACGTTGCATTTAAGTTTTGGAGATCCATGTTGACTGGGAAGCAAGAAGATGAAAGTGAGTGTAGGGACATTACTATTATAAATAAATAAAAATAAAATATAAAATAATAATAATAATGAAAATTATAAAAAAAAATAAAACAATAACATGAAAACGTTGTATGAAATAAATTAAATAAAAAATAAAAATAATAAAAAATCTCCCAGCATGCAACAAAAATGGTTCCTGTCAGAAATACGGACATCCCGCCAAAAGACATTAAATTCACTCTCTTTACCACGAACCCTCAAGGCAGGCAACACGTGTGTAACTTCTCTCTGTGATATGGCGTGTTGTAGTACGGAGTGACTTCTCCCTTTAACACATGTACCATAAAATAGTTGTAACCTTAAAAAAATACAATAAAACACGCACACCAATATACACACAAAATATAAATAAATTGTATGAAATTAACGTATGCCTTTATTGGTAACTTTGTATTGTTTTATTTCTACGACTTATGTTTTTTTTTTTTCATTTACATGAACACGAGACTATTTTCTGCTGCTTTGATGTGAGTGACCTCACAAGAGTTCTAAATGCGAGAAAGGCAAGAGAAGAAACTTCTATGCTGTTAAAATTACGGTACATGTTTGTTTATATATGGGATGTAAATATATATCTGTATCACTTCATTCACTCTGTTTTATAGGCACAATAATGTCACCGTCTTTAAGAATCGAACAAGCTTCAACCGTCAATGGCCTTTGCCGACATTTATTATATTGGAAAAACTCCCGAACTAATTTCCATGGACGCAGCATGTTTTTTGTTTAATCATTTCACACCAACCAAAGTGATAAAGCCGATAAGACGCAACGTTTTAGTAGAATTGGTGAGAATATTGGAAAAAGAAAGGCATGGTTAAGGAGAGTTAATAATAAAAGAACAGGAATTAAGAAGACAAAAGATAAGCGACTAATACTGCATTTAAAATTTTTGAAGATCAAAATTGACTGGAAAACAAAAGACCGGAAGAGAGTTCCACGAGTAAAAAAAATCTGAGAGAAGAAACTGTTAGCATAGAACTTACGGTTGCATCTAGCCATTTCAATTATAAAATGATGAGACCTTGCCGTCAATCTAGTAATGTACTTATCAGAACAATTACCATGAAATTATTTATAGAAAAGGTACAGAAAAAGCCGTGGGAAAGTGACTGAAGCGAATATGCCAGGTCAGGACAAATAACATTGCAGATTATTCTTTGTATTTTATCAAGAATTTATGAATAATTAGCAGAAACACCAGACCAGTCCAAACCATACACATGATTCATAATTCTATATCGATATGATATTCGGTGGAGTAATGGATAGCGATTCGGATTGAGGAATCGGAGTGCCGAGTTCGAATTCTAGTCGAATCCATTATGTTCACTTACGTGCTAATGCCCTTGGAAAGGTATGAATCCTCTTCTTCTCTCCACAGCTATGGTCAAATAGTTCTACAGACTTCCTATAGAAAGAAACGGCAATCTCCCGCGGGAAAAAAACACCTGCCTCGTCAGTCGCCATACTATACTATCAAACTTAAAGAACTGGAACTGTGAATCATCAGGCCACACCTTACCAGTTTCCAAGTTTCAATTAATGATTTCCCCCATTCCATGTAAGACTCTGTGTTTGTTGTCGTTGTGTTAACTGATATTCTAAAGATATTCTACTATCATATCTTATGTAATCTAATGAAAATAGTAATATTACCCGTTTCCTTATAAGGAAACATTCGACATTCATTGACCGAGCATTCAGTACAACTCTTGGTTGAAATTTATAAAATTTTTCTGTTAAAAGAATTTTTCCGGAAACCAAGTTTCTCAAATTCTCTGTTATTATTTACATTGTTCAGACTGTTTGTCTCAATTTTATTTTCATGTTCACGGTGTTTCGGCCGTTGTACGCTTCGGCCTTCTTCAGGTGATTTGAATTTCGAACTGAACACCTTATTTCGTCTACCGGGGTAGATTGTTCTTGTTCCACGTACCATGCCACTTCCGGATGTCTCAGTAAACTCCCTTAAACTCAGCTCTCCGAGTTTTTTGTTCATCACGACAGTAGCCAAGTATTGAACTCGCAACTCTTTGGATAAAGTCACTAGATCCAACCAATGCTTTTATCTAGTGGGCCATATTATTTGCTCTTTCAAGTATTAATGTAGGTTTCCTTCCTAACCTTTTGTTTGAAGTAGTGGGGAATGTCAACATTATTATTTTCTCTTTGAGTTACAGGTGCTGTCAAGTAATGTCGTTTGGTAACGTTATTTCTTTGTGATTCTACAGCGTCAGTACACAAAGTCTAAAGAATGGCGTTTTTCGCAGAGATCAACAGGTTTCATTCGCTCGAAGCTATTTTAAAACCATTGATCTGTGAAAGCGGTTGTATGCAGCTGACAGTTTAGATATTTCTGAACGGGTCTGGGGTGGGGTCATGCATAACATTCATAAAACAAAATCTCCCATTGGATATCTTTGCTTTTGCATATATTATAATTTTTTTCTCAATTACTTGATGCACTATTCATTGTTTCCTTTACCGCTGCAACGCGAATTTCTCTTGCCACATGCCGTTTTCATTTCGGTGCAGGCTTGTAGTGTCAGAAGCCGATCCCGTCTCCCAAGAAACGTAGAAAGACTTTAGGGTATCATCAAAGAGGCAAACGTGTTGAGAAAATCAATAACATCACTAATTTGTGATATCAGCGAATGAACGATTTTCAAGTCAAATAAATGTCCTTGTCACACTGTAATATCTGCGCTAGAAATTCTTGAATATTTTATCCGAAACAAGCCATCGCAGTTTTCCCATGTCTTACTTTTAAAGAGATTCCACAGCCTTCGCGAAGTAGTTGAGGATTGGACTATTTGTGCACTGAGTTATAAATAGTGGGTATTCCCCGTAAGGGAAGAGAGATTACATAATTCGACTCGGTATCTTGAAATGAAGGATGATATTGAAATAAAACCAGTATCATTTTTTTTTCTTTCGTTATATCACCCCATGCAAGGCATTAAAACCAGTAAAAAACTCTGTGTTAAAAAATATAAAAATTAAAACAATAAGGAGCGAGAACAATAGAAGAATAACCAGGAAGATAGCATATAACGATTGACAATGCATTTAAATTTTTGAAGGCAAGTTACCTGATTCCAATTCACAAGCAACTTCAATGTTGTCGAACTCTCTACTGTGTTTCCCGGGGCCACACTTTTAAGGCACCTAGAATATCAACCAGTTTTATAAGCCACCCGTTGC